TTAATAACCTTCCAAAACTGATACAAAACTTGTTCACTATGAATACTGGTTTGAGAGAGCTGACAGTAGTAACTTTATTAAAAAAATATATATATACAATTAAATAACAGATCAAGTAAATAAAATAATAATATAGTATAATAGATAAATAACGATAAACTATTATTATAAAACTTCTAGATAAATAATATTCTGAGTATAGCCTTTTTTAGAATATTGACCCATTAGTAATAATTATAGTTCTTTATGTGAAGTCAAATGTGAGCAAGTAACATAAAGTTGGCATGAGAAAAAACAGAAGTTGGTAAATAAACTCTAACACGATTTAAAGTTTAATCTAGTAATTTGTTTATAGTAAAAAAAAGTGGAATATATAGAAAATTGTTATGCTTAAAAGTAAAGGCAAATTTGTATTTGAAGGTATAAGAATGATATGAAGAAAAAAAATATATAATTTAGAATATTTTCTAGAGATAAGTTGAAGTTTGATAACATGTGGGGCAAAAGTATAACAAATAAGACAGATTCTATTACAGAGACCTAAGAAAAGATTTATATTGTGAAAAAAAATAACAGAAAAATCTACATTTAGAGTTAGTTTATGTAAAGGCAAGTTGCTTATATTAATACTGTTTAAAAACTTAATAAAATAAAGGTTAATAAAGTTAGTTTCTGTTTTATCAATACTGTCTGCACTAAAATAATTGATTTGATTACCAGAAAATAGAAACATAACAGTAGAATTGATGAAAGTTATATCAATATTTTTGGAAGCAAAGATTTTGTGATCTATTAAGTAATTGGAATTAGTAGCATTTGTTATGAGATTGGGATAGATGAAATCAATTAAATTATGCAGATTTTGGGATGATATATATAAGTTATCAGGAAGTTTAATATAATCAGTTCTATCTGCATTTCATTAAATATGATTTTTTCTGATTTGTAAAAGCTAATTAGCAAAATTTTCAATTTTAATAGAATCTAAAATACTTCTAAATTGTTGTAAATGCATATTAGTTGATAATTTTATAACTTGAGTATAATACTACAAATACAATCTTAATAAACTGAAGCCAACAATATCTTCACTTTTGCCTTTTGGTATAATAGATAATATTTGTTAAAAATTACTATCAAATATAACTATTTTATCACCAAAAGGTTGGTATTGTAAAGTAGAATCAATAGCTTTTATCAGATCTTTAATTAACAGCTTCAGAAGTATATCAATTAGCTATAGAAGCTTTATCTCAAAAAATAAGGCTAGTTTGTTCAAGAGAAGAGTAATATCACTACTATATAGAATATTACATATCAAATTTTTATTTAAACTGAAAAAGATTTTAAAACAAGAATAAGCAGTACTTTCTTCTTTTAATAAAAGTGCTGCAATTCTTGATAAAGCAATGACAATAGCTATATGACAGGCAGATTTAATTTTATCCGATAGAATACTATAAAGAAATGTTTTACCTGAACTACTAGGACTATTAACAAAAAAAAGAGCAGAATAATTATTATCAACAGCAAAAATTACAGCATTATATATAGCAAGTTGTTTAATATTTAAGCTTAAAATATTTGTTGTAAACCTATATTTAAGCTCTTCAATGTTATATTGTAATTTTTTAGCAATTAAACAATTAGAATAAATATTTTCTTCATAAAAAAGCATTAGAATAGGCATATTAGGAAAGTTTTTAAAACAGGTTCTATTTTGAACTAAAGTTACTACTGTCAGCTCTCTCAAACCAGTATTCATAGTGAACAAGTTTTGTATCAGTTTTGGAAGGTTATTAA